CAATTTTACAGTCATCTGCAAATCGTGGTAAGAATGTTAGTTTAATTTGTGCTGTTTCAACAATGGGAGTGCTTGCTTATGAAATAAAAACTGGAGGCTGGAATGCAGATTCATTTTGTACTTTCATAACTACAATGATGGCACCAGCGATTAGGGATGCAATGGTTGAAGCGCCGGTGCTTGTTATGGACAATTGTAAATTCAACTGGAGTCTTTCTATTAGGCAAACACTAGCCTCTCATGGTATAGCTATTAAGTATTATATTACATGGTATAGCTATTAAGTATTACAGCTATTAAGTATTGATATTAATAATAATTATAAATAATTAAATTTAAATCTAGATAAATGAATAATTAGATAAATAATAACTTAATCAATCTAGAAATTTAATAATAAAATTACAAAGAACTTATATTAAATTAAATTAACTATCATCGAAAACAAAGAACTAATATTAAATTAAATAAACCATCGTCGAATGTAAAAAGTCTTCGTTTTAAGTATTTTTAACCTCGTTTACCTGGAAATAAGAAAAATTTGTTTTGAAAAAATAAACTATTTTATCAAAACAAATTGCTTAAATGATTTTTTTTTGTTCAAATTGCTTTTTTACAATAATTGTAAAAAAGCAATTTGAACAAAAAAAAACTCATTCTTATATGCGTTTTCAAAAGCAATTATTGCTTTTGAAAACGCATATAAGAATGAATAAACTTCATATTATCTTTTTTATTTTACGAATTTTTATAACTTCATTATAATATTACGTATTTATATTATATTATACTCGATACAAAACTTAAAACTCTTTTTAATCATCAGAAACACGCAGCTCGCGCAATTAATTTTAAAAATCGTCTTACTCACTCTGCGCCACTTCTTAAAGATATGAAAGCTTTGAATGTTTATCAACTTAATATTTTTAATATTTTATGCTTTATGTTCAAGTGTAAAGAAAATTTATCTCCACAGGTATTTCTTTATTCTTTTCGGTTTTAAAGAATAAAGATATTCCACAGGAATATCTTTATTCTTTAAAACCGAAAAACAAATATAATTTACGAATTGACAACAATCTTAATGCTCCTTTTTGCAAAACTAAATACAACGAATTTTGTATGTCCTATCGTGGACCTCTTCTTTGGAACAAAATAGTTTTACCTAATTTTGACTTTTCAATCAAACTACTCCTCATTCAAAACCAAAATTAAAGAAATTATCTTTTTAATTGAAAACATCTTTATCTATTTTTGAGTTTTTATCAATTTATTGCTGATATATTATACTTTATTGTATTATGTTTTACTATTTACGAATATTTCCATGAGTTCTTTGCAAACTTATTTATTTAATGATTTGTATTTTATTACTTTTTATTACTGTGTTTTGTTAAACTTCATATTGTCTTTGTTATTTTACGAATTTTTATAACTTCATTATAATATTACGTATTTATATTATATTATACTCAATACTAAAATGCATTGTAAAGGGCTTCATGATAAGATCCTCATGATCTTCTAGAAGTCCTATTACTAAATTTGTAATATGTTAAAATTTGTATTATTAATAAAATTATTTGGCAAAAAAAAAATAAAATAAAATAAAATAAAATAAAGGCGCATATAAAAATGAATAGACGCGCATATAAGAATGAATAACCCTGTAAAATATCACAAAATATTTTTGCAATGTCCACTACTTTTTTTTTCTCCATGTCTTCAACGCTTTTTTTGTTGAAGCTGAAATAAACAAAGCGAAGAATAAAAGTGATCTGTTCAGTGTGTGAAACGTCTGGGGTTCCATCGATTGCACGTTAATACTTTCGGGAAGTTATTTATTTATCTCATGAAACTATACTATAAAAACATCATATAAAATCACAAAACATTTAAAAGTTAAACATTGTATAGACACTTTAAAAAAAAAATTATCATTTTTTGGCGCCCCTATAATCTTGGCGCTTGGGGCACGTATGCCTCCTTTTCCTGCCCCCCCCCCTTCCTCTCGGTGGCCCTGGCTACATAGACTATCTTATAGCCTGACTTGCAACGGAGTTGCAAGTCAGGCTATAAGATAGTCTATGTAGCCAGGGTCTATGTAGTCTATGTAGCCAGGCTATAAGATAGTCGATGTACATCGACTATCTTATAGCCTGCTGCTACAAGGAAGTGCTGCTACATCGACTGAGGGTTTGGCATGGGGCAGCAATCTTTTTTCTTTAAATATTTCAATCTATCTATCTATATAATATTGCCGAACTTAATAGTAGTGTCCCTTGGAGCGTATTTGACACGAAACCCTTGGCAGCCATTGCAACCGAGGTATTGGCAAGAAAGAGTCGCAGCACTATAAGAAAACGTGAACGAATATCTAACGTACGTAAACTTTAAACTAAGTAATGTTAAAGCACATGTTAAGACATACTGAAACAGTCATCAAGTTTTACAGTTTGATTTTCACATGAAAATTACATTGCGTCAAGCTCTCCTTAATTTTGATCTATAACATTTTTTCCTCAAAAAAATTATTACATTATTTTAAAAATTCTACGCCAAATTGTATGCCGGTGGATAAGGCATATTTAAAATCAACTCTTTGTTAAACGAATAATTTTATTGAATTTTTTTCATAACTTTTTGAAAATTTGTATTCAATAATGTCTGTACACATATAAACTAGCTTATTTTGTAAAAAAGTCAAAAATGATATTTAAACTTAAGGCGTTTTGAAAAACGGTTGCAGTATGGACGATACAACGAATATGTTATATGACGCAAAACTTGAATGCTCTAAACAAAAGCAACTAAACCAAAAAATTAAATATAATTGCTTAAAAATTTTATTATAGTGAAAATGTTTATTTTAGTGAATATAGTAATTGTAGTTCAAAGTTTTATTAGAGCACTTAAAAATTTATTTATAGTGCGTTGGTTTTTCACGGCTATTTCAAGCGAGCTTTACGGCTTCTTGTTATTTTTTGAAAATATTTACGTAAGGGGTGTTACTAAAACTTTTATAATTTTCGAAATATTAGAAATAATTTTATTCTGTAAAAAGAATAAAAACACCAATAAAATGTTTTATTTGATGACATTTCATAGATATATTAAAAAACTTCTTTAATTTTAGAATAAACGCGGCAAATGTTGAGCTTGGCTAAATATTAGTAATTTGATGTTACTTTTATCAAAAAAAACTCAGAAAGAATATATTTTCGATATTTATTATTAAATGTAGATATTGTTGGACTATTATAAAAACAAAAAAACTTTACTTAAATGTTTAAGGTTAACTAAAACAGACGTTATTTTAAGCCAGTAAAGCAAATCGAATTTTCGCAAAATTACGAAAATGTCGTTAAAAGGGAGATAAACTGTTAAATGACTAGTTTTTGAAAATTGATTCCATTAAATAAAAACAGATTTGCATTTTAGAATATTTCGCTTGAAAATTTAAAGCTTCAGCTTTTAAAAATTTTTTTATTATGTGCACACAGTTCTAATGTGAGAATGTTAATAAATAACGACACCAACTTTAATTTTTTTTTTTTTTTTGCGTGTTTAAATATACAAATTGCAATTTGAAATTGTTTTTATTCTCATAAAAAACTATTCTATAATCAGTTGGTCCATTGATAAGTTCTTTAAGTAGTAAATCTTTGTACACACAGTTGATACTAAACTCATACTTCATTTTAAACCAGAAGAACAGTTGCTTGACTCAAAACTGTGACAATAACTTGTAGTTTAGTTAACCATTAAAATAGTATTATACTCTATTATTTTTTGGCTTTTATACTTTTTGGCTTAAACTTTAAAATAAGGGATCGTCCATAAATTACTCAACGCTAAATTTCACAATTGAAGAAAACAAAAATGAAGACTGAAGATCTCTTCTACTTTTTGAAAAATAAATTTAGCGTTGCTTAATTTGTGGGCAATTCCATAGCGTTTTATAGTTTATCTACTTTTTTGCTCTTAAAGTAGTTTTACAGAACAAAACTATTTTACTTAAAAGTATTGAAGTAAATATGGAATAGGTATAGAAATAATCGGTCTGGAATAGGTATGTATAGAAATAGTAGGTTCGGTTAAGACCCGTATTTTTCGGATTCGAAAAGCTAGGATACTTAAGGAAAAAGTACGGTATTAAAAAGTATTAAAAAGAAAAAGTAAGGTATTAAAAAGTTCAATTTGGAATTACAAAGACACGTATTTTTACGGTTTGATCTCAGCTATTGTTTGTAAAGCCTCTATTGACAAGCGGAAAAATAAAATCATTTTAGGCCGCGTAATTCTAAGATTACCCAAAACTTTATCTAAATAATGTTAATATATTGTTAGTATATGAACGAAATATAATTTACTTTAACTCAAATATTACATAACTTTAGGTAAAACATAAATTACTTATGCTATACTTAAGTTATCCAACTTTACAAATCCATACTTAAGTTATCCAACTTACAATTTAATAATAAATAGTAAATTTCACAATATCACAGTAAATTTATAGTGAACGGGCAAAGTTACATCGTAACCTCTGCTAGCAGAAATTGTAAATTCCATAACTTAGACAGGTTTCAATAAAGTTACTATAATTTATTATCAAATTGTATAAAATTTATTTACTTTATTAAATATTAATAAACTTATTAATAATATTATTAGTTAGCAAAGATATTATTAATAATAAAGTTGAATATATTTTATTGTTAAGTAAATATACCTACTAACAATTCAAGTTGTTAGTAAATATAATTATTAACCAATAAAAAATTTGGTATTGCTCAAAAGTTGATTTCATTTAAATGTGTATCAAATGTTTCGAGCTTTTTTTTTTCAACAAATAAAAATTGTGAATAAAAGTAAAGCTTTTTATTTAAAACTTTTAAAGTAATAGTATACATTTTAAAAAAAAAGCTGTCTAAACTCTCATAGCTCTTTGAAAAAGAAATATATTATAACTTTCAATTCAAATTATTTTCTTATAGTAAACAATATATATCTATTTATATAAATAGTATATAAATAAAAAATGGTTTGGACATTGAAGTCAATCTTAGTTACTGGTTCTAATAGAGGAATTGGGTTAGAGTTAGTCAAAAGATTAACTGAAAGAGCTGAAATTGTGTTTGCATGCTGTCGTTCTGCTGAAAAGGCTCAGGTATTATAAAATTAAAAATTTATCATAAAAGTTTTTTTTACAGGATTTGAATTAAAATTTTTTTTCTAGAAGACATTAAATTGTGCATTATATATATTTTTTTGTTTTGGACAAATTTATATAATTCGTTGTAATTCATTACATAATATTAAAAATTATTACACAATAGTTTAGTACATAATAATATTATATTATATATATAAGTTTGAGCAAAATGAAAAAAGCACTTATAGCATTCAAAAAGAATGTTTTACTTTTTCATATGTATTTTTTTAAATATTATGAACTGAACTCTCAGTCCATGTAGCAGCATCCCTTTAAGGCAAAAAGCTATAAGATAGTTAATGTAATTACTAATTTCCTATTAGCAGGCTTTTACAGTATGACATTAAATTTGAAGTGACTAGGGTCCTGGTCCCAGCTAAAAATGATATTTTTTGCAAACCTGGCCCTGGTAAAATTATAAGATTTAGCAGGGGTTGATAGCCAAGGCTAAAAAAATTTATAATACTTTATATATTATAATTTTATGCTTACATTTCCTATCAAATACTGTCATATATTTATATATTTTTAAACTCTAATTTACTTCCAACAAAATTAAAAGCAACCACTACTAAGTTATGAGTTATTATTAAAATAGAGAATAAGTAAAAACACTATGAAATGGTTAACTGAAGACTTAAAAAGTTGTAGGGTGTTTAAAAAAAGAAAAATTGAAGATCGGTAAGAGTTATAAAGTTTTTTTTGATAAGCAAGGGAAAAACTGCATTATATATATATATATATATATATATATATATATATGCATATATATATATATATATATATATATATATATATATATATATATATATATATATATGCATATATATATACAGGACCTATATGCATATATATATACAGGACCTTGGAGAGGGAGGGGCAAAGGGGGCAAATTGACCCGGGCGCAAAGCTTGAAGGGGCGACTGACAATCTGAAATCTGCTTAGTTTTTGCATTTGAGATTGAACTTTTAGTATTTGGAATAAAATTGCACACGTAAGAAATAATTTAAGTTTTAAATTCTATTCTTATAATTAGTAATAAACTAATTTTTAAGAAAAAAGTAGGATTTCGCTGTTGTAGAATTAGACAGAAGCTAGCTCATGTTCGATTGTAAGGAAGATTATGTGCTGTGGTAATAATAATGGTAACTCATCAAATTTTGCTTTGAAGGAGTTGACACAGATAGCACTGAAAACTTCAATAGGTAGTGCGTTCCATGGGTTTGCTTCAACTTCTTTAACTATACAGTTGTTGAAGAAGTTGAAGCGAACAAGACAGTTGTGGTCGATTTTACAATAAAAGCGCTGTTTTTTTTTAAATAGTATTTGACTGTTGAGGCAAAAGAGAGAATCATAGCATTGCATTTTTCAGACAAATAAGTTGCCTTGACTCTATCAAGACCCAGCCAGTTATCAAATATTTGAGTTTTTGGATCTTGGCTGCACTCAATATGGGTAATCTACTGCACTCAATATGTTGTTACAAGGACTGTGATTAGTGGGGGCTTAAACAATTTCCCTCAAGTAAAGCCTGGATTAGTGGGGGCTTAAACAATTTCCCTCAAGTAAAGCTTAATGAATTTCAAAGTGAATCATTAGAGTCAGAAAAAGGAACTTTATCTAACAGTGGAAAATGCAAGGTTCAACTTAACTTGGTAATAATTAATGCTAACCCTTCTTTGTGGGCAGTTGTTTTGAGTCAAAAAGATCAAGATATAATTATTGTAAAGAGATCTCTAGCACAAAAGCAGTATTCAAATGCCGCTAATTGTCCCCTCCCCGTTGAAACTGAGGAGCTAGAGATCAACGAAGGAAACTCATAAGTCATGTGAAGCAGCCCATGCCAATTGCACTAAAGGTTCTACAATGATTAGAAAGAGGCCTACATTCATCTTACCAGCTCCACTGGTAAATATTTAGAGCTCCATAAGTGAATAAACTCTGAGACAGCAAAATGGCTGACAATTCTTTGTGAAATTTTGAATGTGACTGTTTTCCTGGCTTCTAAGGAATTTAACTTTAGGGAATTTACTTTAGGTGTTTCCATTGACTTGATGAAAGCTTTAGATACTATTGATCATGTAATTCTTTCAATAAAAGTTGGAGTGGTACGGAATTACTGGAAATATATTAATTTGGCTAAAAAGTTACTTAAATAATCGAAAACAATTTGTTTATGCAGATGATAACATATCATCTAGTTTATTAAATATTACCAAAAGCTTCTAACCTAATGACAGTTATGTTTGATGATGATTTTAACTTATTTCTTTCTCATTATAACATTTTTACACTTTTTAGCAGCATAAATATTAAACTAGTCAAAATTTGAAATTATTTGTTGCTTGTTGATAAAAAAATTATTATATGTTAAAGTTTAGTGAATTATTTAACATGTTTTACTTTTTAAGTTTAAGAACTCTTCTATTGTAATTTTGTATGTTTATTTTTGTTTATGATATTATATTACGAACTTTATGTCGTCAATAGCGGTTTCTATGTGGCAAGAAGCTTTTTTAGGTAGTTCATTATAAAGTTTACTCAATATCAATTTTAATTTTTTTATATAATTATTACAATAATTTGTAACATCCCACTTAGAAGATGGATACAATAATTAAAATGACAACATCAACAAGAAGGCTTCACAATGAGTGTCCATTATTTCTTTCCGTCGTCTCAAAATAAGTTCACCAAAGAATATGGTGTTATCTAAAGTGCAGCTGTCAACGAAATTCAGGATGGTATCTACTTCACAACCATAGTTGATAGTACCCCTAATATATCTCATACTGAGCGGATAACCTTTGTCATTCGTTTTCTTCTCTATGAAAAAGAAATTAATTGCTGGAAAATTAAAGAAGGATGTGTTGAAACTTTTGAACCGAAGAAAGGACTTGATATAGCTAAGCTTAACACTAATGTGATTCACATAGCGCTCACTGTTTTATCGTCGCGTCCATTTAATTTAATAACGTTTATAATCTATAGCTTTATATATTCTTTCTAACATCCTATACAAAAATCTTTTCTCTATATATCTTAAATTAAAAAGTCCCATGAGAATATACTGTTAATTACAGTTGAAATAACTTACGTAGATGCGTGACTTTCAACACGCATCTACGTGATTTCTAACACGTACAATTCACCAACATAACAATAGAACATGCCCTCTTGGTGAATTAACTCATAAGTCTAATCTTTGTGGGGGCTTTACTGTTCGTCCGGAGCGTGTTACTTGCAGCGCGTTGAGTTCTTGAGAATCATTATGAACTTGAGCGACATCATCATTATAACTTCCTTTAACGTTATCAGTTTTATCGTTTAGTCTATAAAAAACATTGTTGACTGATTCATTTGAACTCTGTACGTCTGTACGGCGACGCAGGTGTAAAATGTGACGCGGATATACCCGATTCGCAGTTTCCACGTCAAACGACAAAGTATTTTGCTTTCGTACTACATTTTGTTTCTTGAGTTGGTTTTACCCAAACATTGTCACCCACTTTGAATTTCTTGCTTACGCCTTTCTCGTCTACCTTCCTCCGAGTATCGACGCCTGGGATGAAACATGTCGATCTTTTCTTGAATTGCTTGGATGGACTTTCAGTACAATTGGATGATATTGTCTCATTGTACAGCAAGACTGCCAGAGCGATTGAACAATGTGAGCGAGCGACCGTTCTTTTTATCGTTCTGTGTATACGTTCAACTATACCATTACCTTGAGCTCGATGTGCTGCTCGATATTCCAAATTAACATGCCATTCTTCAGCAAAACTTGTTAACGTGTTGGACCGAAATTCGTTGTTCATTAGAAGACATACTGGCGGACCAAATAAAGAGAATATTTCTTCGAGTCTACCAACAACTTCAGCAGCTGCTTTAGTTGCAAGTTTACGCCATATTGTATGCGGTACTTATGCGATAGTGGTGTAGTGGTAGAGCGCTCGCTTCATAAACGAGTGGTTCCGAGTTCGATCCCCACCACGTCCCTGGTAGTACAGCGCTCAACTCGTTTCTCCGCGCAGCGGCCTTGCTTGTCAAGGTTCGTGTTTCGGAGTTATAGAGTTGAGAGAGGGCTATAACCACAAATAAGTAGCCTCCTCGTCTGTAGTGGCCTTCTCGGCCTTGAGGAGGTGAATTAAAATAAAAATAAAAAAAAAAAAATATTGTATACCGTGATGGACCACAGTCAATCATTGATAAGTACAGTTCAGCACCTACATGCGTCACGTCAATGGCAACCAGATTCCAATTTTTTTCTACGCTTAGTTGGCCATTTTTCCACTTTACGGAGTAAGGATCAATAGAGTTACACTGGTTACAATTCGCAATTACTGCTGAAACCTCCTTACGTGATACATTCTGATTATTTCGCAAGCAAAGTTGTAATGTTCGAGCAACACCAAAATGACCAATTGAATGAATTTTCCATATGTCTTTTTGTTCAAGTAATCCAGCTGCACACACTGTTCTGCACCATTTTTGAGGGATTCGTGAGAGTTGATCAGCCAAATTTATCTCAGATGGAATCCATTGTACTGCGATCTGAATATCTTTTGCCACTTCCTTAATAGTATTCAATCGTTTTTGTACTAACAATTGAGAAATTCCCTGAGTTTTTACGCAATATTCTTCCTTCAAAACTGCGTTTAACCATCCTACGGTGCTCTTGCTATCACTGTATACTGTTAACTCTTTTATGCCCCACTTACTAGCTAAGTTTAGTCCTCGAAGTATAGAATCCAGTTCACTTATATTGATATGGTGTGTGTCACTCGCTGGCCGTAGCCATGCTGCGTCTTCAACAACTACTCCACCAATGAGCAGAACTACCCCAAGTCCTATAGATGATGCATATTTCCATATCAGTTCCCCGTTTTTATTTCTTTCGACTCTCAATCCTAAGACACATCCTTGTTCAAGATCTTGTGGAGGTTTACATTGTAATCCGAATTTAAGCAGATGCCTCGCTACATTTTTCGCAGTTTCCACACTTTCATCCACAAATATATCATCAATGTAGTTATCACATGCTTTCTTTATGATTGGATTTAAATTGAGCACATGCCGAAGAATTGTGGTCATTATTGTTGGAGCCACATTGATGCCAAAACACATCCTGGTAAAACAATACCGTTGCCCATTTATAATCACCGTTTGATATGGCCAAAGTTTTTTATCAATATGAATTTGGAGGTAGGCTTTTTTAAGATTGAGAATTTTTGCATTTTTTATTTTTCTCCAGCAACGCAGTTTTTCTTGACAAACGTCCGCATTTGCCGTATGACAATTTACAAATTCGTTGAGAGCTCGGAAATCTCCCACTGGACGTACCTTTTTGTCCTTGTTTTCTTGCACTACGCACATAAGCGGTATCAATACTTTTGGTATATGGTACAAGAATACCAGAGTCAATCCATTCACGTATTTCTTTACGGTAACTACGTTCGTGCTCTTGGTTCATCTTGTATTCACAAATGGTATTATCAATTACAGGCTCTTTATTCCAGTTCCATGATGCCGTCCATTTTTTTCCGTCAAACTTTGCTGTGAAGTCCTGATGTTTTATTTCGTTTCTTTCGTTCTCTTCATTTCTTGTTGTATTTTTGACATCTTATTTTATTTTTTGTACTTCGTTTTTGCTTTTTCTTGTCATATTAATAACATCAATTTTTAATTCGTTTATTTCGTTTTCGTTTTTTCTCGTCGTAGTAACGGCACCACATTTCGCTTTGTCACATGTTAACATTCGGACGTTACAGTTTTTATTACCATAAATGATAACTCCTCCAAATTTTTTAATTGCATTCATTCCAAAAATCAAATCAAACCCAAATGGTTTTTCTTTTACAACCAGAGAATAAACCATCCGGTGTGTTCCATTAATTTCCAGATTGATTACCATTTCACCCAGCACTTGCACAGTTCCTCCCAAAGTTGTGATAAGTTTTTGACTTTTTAACACAAGCCCATGCGCGGACTCAGCATGAACCACAGTAATGGAGCATCCAGAATCAATTAATGCTGTTCGGAGCCTTCCATTTATTTTCACTTTTAATGATGGCAACATCATTTCTGGGAGAATACTGGATGCCATTATTTCCAGATTCTCTCTTTTCCTTTTAAACCTTGCAATCGTTTAAAGCAGTTTTTAGCTTGATGATCGTGTGAACAAGTCTTGCATTTTTCTTCGCAGTCCCTTGCAAAATGTCCAAGTTTTCCACAATTGAAACAATTAACTTTGTTTATGTTGGATGCACCAGACGTCCGTGAAAGTAACGATGTTGCGCCAATCATTACATTCTCGGAACCATCTAATTGTCGAGCTTCCTGGGTTACTCGTTCAAGGGTAACAGCTATTTCCACAGCCTTTTCAAAAGTTAGTTCTTCAGATTCCAGTAGTAACCGTTTGATTGTAACACCATCGTTAAAACCCGTGATGAATTGGTCGCGCATTCGATCATCTCTATCCGTGAACTTGCATCCTTCAGCAGCTCTTGTAATCCGTCGTGAAAATTCCGTTATTTTCGTTACTTTTCATTTTCGTTACTTTTCATTTTCGTTACTTGCTTTTTTTATAGTTGCAAATTCAAAGCGTAGTATTAACGATGACTTCGGTTTAAAAAGCTTCATGATGTTTTCCTCGATGTCTTCGTAGGTAACTGAGTCATCTTCAGGGTATGCAGGCAAGCATAGATCTTCTAGTGCGGAATAAATCTGTGGTGGCAAACATGTTAATATTATTGTTTTTCTTTTGGATTCGGGTACGTCCATCGCAGTTATGTATGTTCATAGTTGGCGGACGAACCGCTGATGGTTGCCATCGAATACCGGTGGCATAATGGCCGAAATAGCTTGTTTTATCGTCGCGTCTATTTAATTTAATAACGTTTATAATCTATAGCTTTATATATTCTTTCTAACATCCTATACAAAAATCTTTTCTCTATATATCTTAAATTAAAAAGTCCCATGAGAATATACTGTTAATTACAGTTGAAATAACTTACGTAGATGTGTGACTTTCAACATGCATCTACGTGATTTTTTACACGTACAATTCACCAACATAGTAATAGAACACTCACAGTCTGATTTTGGTTAGTATGCTCGCAGTTGAATCAGCCATTGAGACCAAAGTATTTTTCAAAAATGTTGAATCTTGGAGCGTATTTTTTAGTCCAAGTCTAACCCGATGGAAGATTCTCACTAAGGCAACAGAAATTTCACTGCATAGACTTCCTCTGACAAGATGGAGATCTCATACCAATTTGATCAAACCACTTGCCAAGAGGTCAAGAGAAATGTTGGCAGCTTTTAAACATATCATGAAAAATCTGGATCTAACCAGTGAGCAGCCAAACAAGAGATTTAAAAAAATAATTATCATCTTTTGAATTTGTATTGCTCGATACGATTCGGTACAAAACTCTTACTACTGTAAGAGTTGAAGATTGTAAGAACTGTAGATTGAATACTCTAAGAACTGTAGATTGAAGAAGACGACAAACATCTTCTACAATCTGAAGCGTTACCATTGATGATAAGCTATGTTTGATTGAACAGCTGCTGGAAAGTCTTAAACGGATTAGGGCTCTTGGTTGCAAGTTTTCTAAGATGCTCCAGTTGTAGTTGATTGCTAGGATTCGAAACTGAACTTGCTCTTAAAAGAAAGCGTGAGCTAAAGCGTTTTCATGATGAGGCATCAAACACAGTCCATTTCCATGAATGCCAAACAAAAGAATTTAAAGTTAACATTTTCAATGTTGGTTTAGATGATCTAATCCAGCAGATTGATTCAAGATTTGAAACGAGCAGGGTGGTTGGCAATATTTTCATTCTTCAGGTTGAATAATAATAATTTCGTTTAAAATAAAGCATGAGAACTCGCACGGTTTCATCTGAGCAATGTAAGCAAAAAGAAGAAGTTAACTATTTTACCAATGCCCACAAAACAATTTTCAAGCAAGCAATCTAATGCAGTTTCTTTTAGAAGAAGCTTGAACGCCTTTTTCCATATATTTGCATCATGCTTCGAATTTTCAACACCATTTTTAAGTCAGTTGCTGAGGGTGAACCATCCTTTTGTAAACTGAATTGTAAAAAAACTCTCTCCGTTCGACCATGTGTCAGGATCATGTTACTGATATTTGATTATTTTGATTAAAGAAGATTCGACTAAAAATATGAGTTACAAGAACGTCATTAAAATTTGGGCAGCATAAAAAGCTCAAAAAATCATTTTAAAGCGATTTATTTACCTTTCTTAAAAGTTTTATTGATTGATTTTTTAATAGTTTTAAAACTAATATTTTGATTCATATATCAGTTTTGATTAATGAATCGTTTCTCAATCCAGAGAATTAATAGTAACACAAAAATACAATGTGCTGTATCAAAAATTAATTAATTGCTGCGTTAACAAAATTTTTGAAATTTTGGAATTTTAATTTCTTGGTTTGAATTAAGGGAGCCGATCTTCATTTTTTACCCGGGTGCCATTGGCTCTCTCGAAGGCTCTGTATATATATATATATATATATACATATATATACATATATACATATATACATATATACATATATATATATATATATATATATATATATATATATATATATATATATATATATATATATATATATATATATATATATATATAATATTTAATATATATATATATATATATATATATATATATATATATATATATATATATATATATATATATATATATATTAAATTATATTATAATTTAATATTGCAACTAAAATTGAGTTTCATGCTTTACCACAATCATCAGACAAGTAGTAGATAATTCCTGGTACTGTGGGTAACAGTAACATGTATACTATATAGCTCTAGTTTATCTATTTAGCACTCTTTTAAGTATACAATATTATACATGATAATATAAAGATATTTTGACTTTTATATATACATAAGTATATATATATACTTATGTATATATATATATATATATATATATATATATATATATATATATATATATATATATATATATATATATATATATATAATATGTGTGTATATATATATATATATATATATATATATATATATATATATATATATATATATATATGTATATATATATATATATATATATATATATATATATATATATATATATATATATATATATAGTATATATATATATATATATATATATATATATGTATATATATATATATATATATATATATATATATATATATATATATATATATATATATATATAGTATTTTGTTTATTTTTATCATCTTACAATCAAATGCATATTTATTTAGACTTAAGTTAGTTTTATGTAACTTTATTATTTTTTAGATTTACCAAATATTTCCACTAAGCTAAAAAATAAGAGACATTAACGTTACTTTTATTTAAATTAATAATTTAGAATTTTTTTTTTTTTAATTTGGTAAAATGTTTGTTTATATGACTTGACAATGGTCAATGTTTGATTATGGCTATTTTTTTTTTTTTTTTTTTTTGGAAATCAGTATGAAAAAAAATTATTTTTTAGAATTTTAATTGCAGTTTGTGACTGCAGACCTTTTATGATTGATGCCAAACTGACATCATGTTAACCAAATATCATTACCAATATTACTTTTTTTAGGAATTGAACAAACATGCATCAAACCATGAAAATGTTAAAGTAATTGAACTTGGTGAGTAAAGGTGAGTTTCCACTCATCCGTTTTTCAACGGGAAAAGGAAAGGGAACGGAAAAATAATCACGTGAGCATGCCCAGTTTTCTTTCGGACAAATAAAAACCTTTATTACGCATGCTCACGTGATTATTTTTTCCTTTCCTATCCCGTTCCCGTAAAAAAATGGATGAGTGGAAACTCGCCTTAATAGATAAGGTAGTGTTATAGTGAACTGTTTAATTTTGCTAATATAATATATCTCATTTTAGATGTAACTAATATGGATTCCATTAAAGTTGCTTATGAAAAAGTCTCAAGTATACTTGATGGTTCTGGCTTGACATGCTTAGTCAATAATGCTGGTATTGCTTTTATGTCAACATTCAATGAATTCTCTTCAGATCACTGCAAAGATGTTTTTCTCACAAATTCTATTGGACCTGCTCTTGTAACACAGGTATTTATTTGCACATTTCTTTTTTGTGCACACTATTTTCCTTTTCAAAAAGTCACATTCATTTATTAACACAATAAATTGCATTCTCTCTCTTTATATATATATGTATGTATGTATATATATATATATATAAATATATATATATATATATATATATATATATATATATATATATATATATATATATATATATATATATATATATATATATATATATATATACACAAGAGAGAGAGAGCTATATAAAGAGAGAGAGTGAGAGAGAGAAAACAGAAAACAAGGAAACAGGGTTGCAACAAGTTTTAAAAGTAATAAGAATGGCTTTTATAACTGTAATGCTTTGTCAAGTAATAAAAAGTAAAAAAATATACAAATAAAAGTAATAAAAAACTTTACTTAGACTCACTGGTTTAAGAAGATATTAATGTTTTCTTATCTTAATGTAATATTTTAATATTTTTTTCATTGCTGAAAGATTTTTTTAATATTTTTTATAGACATTTCTTCCATTAATAAAAAAAGCAGCTATTGAGAGTTCTGAAACTGAATTAAGCGTGTCTCGAGCTTCTATCTTGAATATATCATCTACTATGGGTTCAATATCTGAAGCAACAACTACTCTAGGTATTGAATATAGAATGTCAAAGGTGAGTTAAAAAAAAAATTAAAAGGATATATAAAACCATCTGTTTATTTATTTTTAAAATAAATTTAATGATCTGCTTAAGTATCATAAAGGATATCTAACCACTTGTATTATGAAAAAACTACTGATATTGTAAAAAAATATGTTTGAAGTCAGCTTTAGGATTGTTCATTAAATAAAGGCCTTTACTTAATGAACAATCAAACGTATAATACTCTCTTGGAGAGATTTTAACTGCATCTGGTTACTCTTTTGTAGAAAACCCCCAATGCAAAGATTGTAGAAGTAAAGAGAAATTTTTGTTGGCTAGCTTCACACCTCTTTTTCCTTTAATAGGCTGGTTTACATGCAAACCTATGTTATATTGTTTTTTACCTAAGATAAAAACTGGATCATCTTGACTCTGGCTATACAACTCTTTCTGTTATCTGGTCCTGTTACTATGTAACAGGGCCAGATAACATCCAGTTTCATAAACTCTGATGTAGCTTTCAAAGAATCTGATTTCATCAACAGCTGTAAAATATCAGAGTATTAACAGTGTTATGTGTATGGTATTCTTTTTATTGTGGATTAAGAGGCCACATACAAAGTCTTTTTTTAAAAAAATTAAGGCATTATTTAAGTTGTGTTCACTTTAGTTTAACTCATAACTCATAAAAATTTGTCACTAAAATCTTTTATCAAAATTTATGATTTTCAATAGAGTTTAGTAACATGCTGGAATTAAAGCCTAAAACTTGTTCCTCAATCAAATGGGTAACAAAGTTATCTGTTGCCCAGATTTTTTGCAACTCGTTTTTCAGACAAACTAGATCACTTATCTTGACCTAACCATTATCTTGACCTCTTTTCTTAAACCTAACCATTATCTTGACCTCTTATCTTAAACCTAATCATTAGCTTGACCTCTTATCTTAAACCTAACCATAATTTGGATGCAAAAAAGTGTTATTTTTTAATATATATATATATATATATATATGTATATATATATATATATATATATATATATATATATATATATATATATATATATATATATATATATATATATATATATATATATATATATATATTTAACACTTAGATTTATTATTTCAGGTTACTAAGTCTTTTGTTTTGTCTGAGATATCTGTTTCTATAGATTCTTAAAAAATATTTAATAATGTCATGAAGAAAAACAATTTGTTTTATTTTTTATATTGAACATTTCATTTACCTAAAAAATATTTAAAAATCAAGATAAAGGAAAATAGAAGAATTTACATAAATTACATCTATAAATACAATTTAAATTATATTTTTTAAGGACAATTTATATCAATTCTACTATTTATCAAATCTTGTTTTTCATATTTTTATGGATTGACTCTCTAATAGTTATGTCTAATAAGTAATTTATTATTTCAAAAATGTTATTTTTTAGGCTTGATATGTATAAGTGTTTTACCTGCACAAAAATGGATGTTTCCTAATCTTTATTATTATTATATAAAGTTTTTACATGTTAAATATAAAAAAAATTTTAAATGTTTAATTTAGAAAACTTATATATAAACATTTATATACACTGATAGTAAATTAAAGTGTATTCACTAGCAGGGCTGTGGAGTCGGAGTTGCGGAGTTGCAACATTTTTGGCGGAGTCAGAGTTGCTAAACAAAATTGCGACTCCGACTCCAATAGTAAAACTTCTTGGTATTGCAGGTGCATGTACAAAACATACAATCAACCTTATGTTCATACTAAACCTCAAAAAACGTTTCATAAATTTTTCGAAAATTTTTTTTTAAAGAATTTAAAAAATTTTTTTAAAAATTTTGCTTTGGAGTTGTAGTCGGAGTTGGAGTCGAGGTCGGAGTTGTACTAAAAAAATTTCAACAACTGGAGTCAGAGTCGGAGTTGAATTCAAAAAATTTAATTAACTGGAGTCGGAGGTGTTACTTTTTTTTTACAACTCCACATCCTTTTTTTAAACAAATTTTCCCCCGATAAGACTGCTAGCGAATTATAATTATGTTTGCATCAAACAAGACAGCTAGCAACCACTATTTATGTTAGTCTCCAACAAGGCTGCTAGCAACCACTGTTTATGTTGCAAGCAACCAATATCAGGGTGGCCACTGGTCATGGAAATCATGGAAACGTCATGGAATTTTATTTGGTCATGAAAAAAGTCATGGAATTCCTAAATTTTCATTGAAAGTCATGAAAAATTCATGGTACTTTTTAAAAATGATCTTTATTTTTTTCTACTTGTGATATTTTTAGGACAAAGACTAGTATGTCTAGTCTAAGGTCTTTTTGCAAAAGATATTTTTGCAGTGTAAGTTATCAGAGAAGTAAAAGAAAAAGATTTTTTTTCAGACATTATTTCAGGACGGAGGTGTACTTGATTAGGGGAGGGTGGCATATCTTAGTTAATTTCAATTAAAAAACGGCTAAAATAAATTATCGTTTTATTCACACATGAATCAAGTACACCTCCGCCGATTTCAGAACTTTCTACCAATTAGTTTTTGGTTTGCATATTTGTTAATGAACAACTTGCAAATGCTTAGTGCTAGGCACTTAGTTTTATGCTTAGTACTGAATATATTACTCAAGTGATTTAACATAAAAGTTTATGAAGAGTCATAGAAAAGTCATTGAATTTTAACTTCAAATTTGAGTGGCCACCTTGATTATTTATATTGCAAGTGACTAGAAAAATAAAAAAACAAGTTAAAGATCAATTGTAAGTTGGATGAGTAAGGAAACATGGACTGAAGGGGGAGAAAATTTCCGAATTAATGATAAAAAAATTAGATGTATCTTTTTAATGTATGTTGATGATGTAAGTTTTTTTAACATAAAAAAACATTTACAGTAAATAAAAGCAACTTTGCTGAATGGTAAGTCATGCAAGAATGCATTTTGTTTGGTAGAACAAGAGTTATCAATTTGCTTATGCATTAATTGCCATTTATAGAGAAGATAATGAATTACAACCTTACGGCGATGGGTCAGAGAAAAGTTAAAACTGGTCGAGACTGAAAACTGACTTTGTTTTGACGTTGACGTCTTTGTTTTGACGTTGTCTGAAATATAAATGAAATCATTAGAAGAATCAACCTAAAATGTTTATTAGTGAAAATGTGACAACATCATTCCACATTTTCATTAATTCCATTAGTTCTAATGATTTTTTAAGAAGTTTACAGGTGTAGAGAAAAAACCAGGAGTAAGAAAACAATTGGCTCGATAGATTAAAACAACTTTTTATTTTTATTTTTAATAAGTGACATTTTTAATAAATGTGAAATAAATATTTTTTTTAGGCTGCACTTAACATGCTAACAAAAACATTAGCTTTTGAATTGAAATCTGAAAAGATTTTAGTTGCTTCTATTTGTCCTGGTTGGGTTCAAACAGATATGGGTGGCCCTAACGCAACTCGTACTCTAGACTTGGCTGGTTCCGATTTAATTGCTTTGTTCGAAAAGTTAAACGAAAGTAATACAGGATTTATGACGAGTTGGAACGGCAGAATTATTGGCGCCTAAAATCTAGTTTGTTTGATGGCGTTGAATTTTTATAGTGATTTTTATTTACTATTTTTTCTGTACTTTATTATTTATATAAAAATTTATGTAAAGTTATTTATTGATTAGACTTTTTTTACTTTTATATAGCCTGTTATATTGGAGTCTGGGTAATAAATTAACAAATATTTTAACGTATTTCTTATATATTGGTGACTTCTCCTTTGCTGGTGTTTTTGTTTTTCAGATCTTTTTTAATAAAATATATTGAAGAACTAGCTTCTAAACTGTTTAAACAATTTGATAGAGCTTTTAAATCTTTAAAAAGTAATAAAGCAATTGCAAATTATGTAATTGTGAAACATTCTTATGGATTCTTATGAACAATTAAAAATGTTCTTTTTAAAATTTTTAGAGAATCTGTTCATTAAGTTGGTATTCCTAAACGTTAAAAATTGCTAGTTAATCCGTAAAGGTGACAGACTCACTAATTATCACTTCATCTCTCTTTTATCTTTATTTCCTAAAATTTAGAAAAGAATTATGTTCAACAGAGTTAATAGTTAAATCTAGTTAAATTTTAATCGCAATAAGTTACTATATAACAATTAGTATTGCTTCAGAAAAGTAGTTCAAATGAAAATGCCATTATTCATCTTAATTTACGCTATGTATTTTTGTTTAACTATAAAAAGCTTTTGATACGGACGATCATATTTTAAACGAAAAAATCAAATTCTACGATTTAAACGAGAGATTTATAAATGGTATCTAAACTATTTATTGGTTTCAAAGCTGTTTATTAACCAGTAAGCAAGTTTTGTCTAATGATGGTTATTAAAGTGAACTCTTAAATAAAACCACTGTTATTCCACGAGGTTCTCTTCCTGAACTACTAGTAATTTTATGTAACTCACTTAAACAAAACCACTAAACATGATGGATTGTGAAAATTCGAAAAAACTTATAATTCCAGGATCCGAAATTGTAAAATCAAATCAAAGATTGTAAAATCAGCTCTAGCCGTAGTATTGGCAAGTAAAGAGACTTAAACTTCCTAATTATGTACGCTTCCGCGATGTTTTGAGATATGCTTTATAAATCATTTTAATAACCATAACAACTAAAAAGTTATGGAATTTCTAGAAAGACTATTTTGAAGAATATTAAATGCTTCAATTTTTTTTTACAAAAATCAAAGCTAGCTAGTAAGCTAGTATATCGCAGTAAAAAAACCTAAGCATAAAAAAATTACTTTATTTATGAAAATAATGCTCGCAGAATGCTCTAACTCTCGCGACTTACTGCAAAAAAAAATGACATTGAGCGAATTTTGTTTGATCATTTAATTAATCAAAATATCATTATCTTTCTGAAGGTTATTTTTGAAACATTTGTTTAATAATTGGAAACTCTTCTATTCTTGACAAAGAATTTATGGCTTTTGCTAAAAATTTGTTTTTTTCAAAGGTTTCGTTTAGTTGCTCGAGAATAGTTTTAGGTTGGGAGGCTGAATAAGTGCAAGCTGGCATAAGTGCAAAACAGTAGTAGTAAACTGGCATAGGTGTGAACAAGCATAAGTGCGTCAAAAGAACTTGCAATGAATTGAAAACAATGGTTTTAGTATATGCCTAAACGATATATTTCGAAAAGTTTCTATTTTGTTTAAAATACTTAAACATCTCATTTTTTTTTTAACTGTTTTATATCTACAAACGTTTTCACAAATTGGTTTATACAATTTTATAAATAGATTTTTATCGTACGCATATGCCAATTTATGTTGGGCTGTTATAAACGAGCTAACAGGAAGAGAGAAAAAGAAGCACACTTGCTTACCACAAAAACTAATTTCCGATAAAAAAATTATAACAAGTACAACAAAAATATGTCAAGAATTTAACAAATATTTTGTTAATGTATGCCCCTCTCTTGCTTCTAACATTGTGCAACCAAATAAAACATTTGATAATTTTTTGGGAGAAAAACCCACCACTAGTATAAATAATGAAAAGATAACTAAAATTAAATTTAATAAAGCAATTATCGAACTTAAACGCAACAAGTCATGTGGATATGATGGTATTTCCAGTAATGAAACAATTTATATAATGGACAGCATTAGTAAACCATTATTTTATTTAATATCATCTTCATTCGAAAATAGTATATTCCCTAACAAACTTAAATTAGCCAAAATTAATCCAATTCTCAAAAAAGGTGATTGCAATAATAATCTTTCTAACTACCGACCTATTTCTCTTCTTCCAGTACTTTCAAAAGTATTTGAGAGAATAATATGTAACAGAGTAAACAATTACTTTACATTAAACAGTTTATTATTCAAAAATCAGTTTGGATTTCAAAGTAGGTGTTCTACTGAACATGCTATTATTAAACTTGCTGACAAAATATTCAAGTCATTTGATAGTGATGAGCTGGTATTAGGAGTTTTTGTTGATCTTTCCAAGGCCTTTGATACGGTTGATCACAGTATTTTACTTTCCAAGCTAAAATACTATGGTATAACAGGCTAAACATTTAAGTGGATTCAAAGCTATTTGTCTAACAGAAAGCAATTTGTATTACTAGAAAAGTCAGGAGCCCTCGATATTACATGTGGAGTTCCTCAGGGTTCAATCCTAGGTCCATTATTGTTCCTAATTTATATTAACGATATGCATAAGCATCCCAAAAAATATCTACAATTATGTATGCTGACGATACAAATTTATTTTTTAATCATCCTAATGCAAAGACTTTGTTTGAAACTATGAATATTGAACTTGAAAAATTCAACCTCTGGTTCATAGCAAATAAATTATCCCTAAATTGTCAAAAAACTAGTTTTACCCTTTTTCATAAAAAAAAACAATCAATTAATCTCCCTTTAAAGCTTCCTAAACTGCTTATTAATAAAAATGAAATCAAACGTGAAAAATGTACAAAGTTTTTGGGAGTGCTTTTTGATGAAAATTTGTCATGGAGAAACCATATTGGTCATATTGTATAAGTCGAAACCTTTTCTTGATAGTAAATCGCGTAATATGCTTTACTTTAGTCTTGTACATAGTCAACTTTTGTACGCAAATATTGTATGGGCCAGCATCCATAAAACAAAACTGATAAAATTGCAAAGCCTGCAAAACCATGCATGCAAAGTAATAAACTATTTAAATAGGTTAGAAAACCCGGCCCAAATGATGAAAAGCATGATGGTTCTAGATATTGAGAAGCTTAACACATTACAGATATTAATTTTTATGTATAAGTATAAGAACAACCTCGTACCAAGCGTTTTTTCAGATACTTTCTTGATATCGTTTTCTGAAAAATATAATTTGCGTTCAAATACCAGGTAAAACTATCACTTAGGGAAAATTAATTCACATCAGTCAAATTTTTTAATTAAAAACCGTGGCCCATCAACATGGAATCATTTCCAAAATAAAAATATTCAAAAAAGCATTTCATCATTTAAACGGGAAACTAAAATGCATCTTCTTAATTACATATATGTTTTTTTAATTTACAGTATTTGTTTTTATTTTTGTTGTTTTTTTTCCGTCTTCTTATTTTTCTTGTTTTTTAATATTTTTTGTTTTTGAATTTGTTACACTAAAAAAATATGAGCTTTGATTTTATTGAATTTTTATTTTATTTTTAAAAATTAAATTGTCTTTATAATGAGTGACTATCGGGGCTCTATGAAAAGGTTGTGATGTTAAACACATCATCCTTACCTTCTTTGAGTCCCTGAGTGATTAGAACAGAATATACATAATATAAAATAAAAAATTATAAAAAAAAACGTTTTTTATCATGTTTATCTTTACGACGTGTATTTTATGTATTTTTTACATGATTATATAAAATTTGTAACTGTTTAATCAGCAAAATAAAAGTATATATAATATATTCTCTATTATAATTTATTAAAAGTATAAAACCTCCAATATTTTGTAAAATGTAAACTTTGTATTATGTTTAGCATTTATGCGATGGCAATATTTGTGCAATCATAAGTGCGCTTTCGATACACTTATGCAAATTCGCATTTATGCCAATGTTTATCAATTCTTTTAGAGCACTTATGGAAGTACGCACTTATGCCAATGTTTGCAAAAAAGAGTTCTTTACATCGGAAAAAGGTATTCAGGACTTTAAAAGTAAGTATGGGGAAATTGGGTTAAAACTAGACAAATGAATATTTTTAGAGCATACCGGGCTGATTCAATCAAAGGATGCAACTTTGCTGAATGATAGGGATATTTAGTTTTGATTGATGAAGCTAGAGCTAATAGCTCCTTTGAGCAGCGACAGTGAGAGTATTGTAGATAAGAGAAAAAGATACAATCTTACAGCATTAGGAAAAAGGCACAAGCTTAGCTTATAGAGCAGTTGTAACTAAGTTAACTACGCCTTTTTGAACCTTGTCTAGAGGAGGAAGTGTATAATTAGAATAACTAGCCCAAATGTGAAAACAGTTATCCAAACAATGAAAAATAAAAGGTTTTTGGAGGTAGAGAATGGAATTAGGGGTAAGAAGGGGCAAGGAAGATAAGTAGAAACAATTTTATCAGATTCTAAATTTGCAATTGATTGAACATATGGTTTCTATGAGAAGTCAGTAGTAAATAATAATCCAATGGTATTATTATTTACTAATGACTTCTTATGGAAACCATATGTTCAATCAATTGCAAATTTAGAATCTGATAAAATTGTCTTCAGCAATATTAGCACAGGGATAAAGAAAAAGGGCATGGTCAATTTGACCAGAAGTTACATCTAAAAGAGTGTCAATTGAGAAGAATGATAAAGAACTAAGAAAAAAGTAATAGAGTGAAGAGATGCTGAGATGAAGAGGAAGCACATTATTAAGGGATTTAAACCTGACTTCTCGATAAATATTAGTAATTTTACGCCTAAGCCAAGTATGTGGCTATTGGAGTCTTTGCGAATCAAAGGATAGTAGCCATCAATGCTGAGATTTGAAGAATGAACAGCCGGATTTATCAGGTCTCACAAAGAGCAAGGTAGTCTGGTAAATATCGAAAGATGTAAGATTCAACAGATGGAAAGTTTCTTCACTAAGATATATTGAAATAGGTGGTGGTAATGGTTTTTTATTTTTAATATTTATAGTTACTTTGGGCATGGTTAAAGTTAAAGAAGAATTTGATTCATATATAAAGTATGGCACCTCAAGCAACGAGCTATCCAGTTAAAACGGTTATTGCACGCTATTTAGGGTTGAGCTTTCCACTTAAAAAATATATTAAAAAGCAAAAACACTATTAATAAAACGCAGTATAAGTTACAGTATGGTTTTACAGTTTGGTATTACATGATTGGTACGATGTTTTTCGTGCAATTACCGTAAAAGTTCAACTCCTATAAAAACAAAACCGCTCTGAATCGGCCTCCGTTCAATACTAAAGCTACAGATTTCTTCCTGCTGCTTTAAACATTTGCAATTTTCAGACCGACGAAAAAAAAATTAAAATAATAATACTCGAACACAAAATATAAACAATAATATATCACTAAAAGTTCAATGAATATTTTAATCTAAATTTAATATAATCACTAAAGAAACATTTTAGAGGGAAATGTTCTGTGTAGTTGTTTCAGTGAATCTTTCAACAGTATTGTTCTTCAAACAATCACCAAGAAGCATAGTCCTATAATCAATACTACAGGTATCTTGTAACGCACGTATATTAAGACTTTCATTTTCGTATAACGCACGTTTTAATTAGACTTTAATTGTCCGATAAAATAACTTCTGATTTCTTTGCATTGTCTCAAGTTGTAACAATAATATTAAATATTATAAGAAACCTGTCATTTCATCCATAAATTTTGCATATACGTCGTCTTTCGTGGGTCCTTCTGTATGCTTATGAACCTGTTTTTCCATATTAGTGTTAATATCAGAAGTCATTGCAATCTGTGCCTTTAGTTTTGCTTTATTTTTGCCAGGTGGAAGGTTCCTTCGAAGTTTAACAGCCGTTGGCACAAACTTCGTGACCTCGGCTCGTATGTTGCGCAACTTTGGAGCAGCCATTATAGTGCGTTGAGTATCTAAATAAAATAATTGTTTTTTAAGTCAAATTATAAATGTTTTTAAATTATGAGCACGACTGGTAGCAGAAAAATAAATAAATAAAAGTTAAAAAAAATAAAAACTTGAAAACTTAAACGAAACCTAAATTAAAAAACTAAGTTAACTGATGTTATTTATTACATTACAATACCATCTATTAAACTTATAATTTTAACAATTATCTTGATCTTCAATATTTATTTTTAAAAACTAAAGTAACTTAGTAGTTTATCAGATTCCAGTTACTATATCAAGGTATTATTGATTCTTACCAACTTAAAAAAATGATAAATTTTAAAGATTATTAGATATTTTTAGATTATAGTATACAATAAGATAATGTTATGAAAACATATGATACAAAAACATTACATTTTTTTGATCAAAAAATTAAAATATCAAATACCTATATAAAAAAACTTCATTAACAAAAAACAATATATATCTTTAATACGTACCTTCTTTCTCTACTTTTTTAATTTCGGGTCCTTTTTCAAATACAGTTTGCGGACCAAATTGAGGTTGTGCTGAGTAAACATTTGCTGCCACGCCAGTCATAAAAGGTGGACGAACTCCTGGTGGAGGTGGAGGAGGCATTCCTAAACATATCAAGATAATTATTTTTATAGAAAAACTACTCATGATTTATCAAGGGTAACTACTGGTGGTAATAAAAAAAGAAATTATAGATACAGAACTAAAGCAAAATGCAAATATATATACAATATAAGTGAAACTTAAATGAATAAGTAACTTAAGTGAATAAGTAACTCAGGTGATAAGTAACTCAGGTGATATGTAACTAAGGTGATAAGTAACCAAGGTGAATCACATAAACTAAAGTGATAAGTAACCATAGTGAATCACATAAATAATACTTAAAAAAATAAAGGTACAATTATAAGATTCACAATAGATATAATACTGATTTGAAGTTTTTTTAGGTAAAAAAAAGGAGAGAAAATATTTGTCAAACGAGAAGGAATTTGAAAACAAAGAGATAACAAAGGTTCGCAAAGTATCAGGGAATAATGATTATTTCCCTGTTATTTAATAATATCTTTAAAACTCTATTCAAAAACTTATTGTTGATTTAACATGGAAGCTTTTCTATTCTGATGATTAACCTTTTGATTGAAAAACTAAGTAGGAGCAGAACTAAATGATAGAACAAGTTTAGGATCACTTCAGTCTTAGGAAGGAACCGATAGAGAATAAAAAAGTTCTGGTGCAGTTTTTTTATACCAATACAACGCGTATTTTTTTGGTATCGTTAAAGTTAAGACCAAAATTAATTAATTACACCTTATATAAGTTCTGAATAACCAGTATAAATTTAAAGTTAAAAGATTTAAAAATAAAAACATTTTATAGCATAAAAGATTAAGAGAAAAAAAAAAGATATAGTACCAATAAAAGATTAAACCAACTTTGTTAAAACAAGATGGACTTTCATGCTTATTTCTTTGCAAAACTACAGATTCTTAAAGTCTATATGATTTTAAATGTCAGACTCAATACTTAGCCTAGCCTATCTAATCGTTCAAGCAATAATGACTCATGGTGGACTGAATAATTTATTGTTTAAGTTTAAGATTACTGATTCCTTTTGCTTTTTAACTGTAACAAATAACTACTAGTTGTGTAAACTTCACTCTATTTCTAGCTTGAATAACTTTATTGCAGAAGTCATTAGGAACTAGTATTCTGTGGTACAAAACTGACTTAACATTACTAATACTGAGGTACTGACATAACGGTTTTTAGTTTTCAGAGTAAGATTTAGTTAAAGCGAAAATTCCGGAGCCAGCTTTATTCCTGAAAGAGACCAAATATCAGTTTTACACTCAACCTGATCTATCCCTCTAGTACCAGATATGCCATTGGCAAACAAACAATGAATTTTGATAATACTTTGAATAAACTGTATATTGTTTGCACAGTTCCAAAGTAAGCTATCGTTCCTGGAAAAACATTTAGCAACATATTACCACATAGGTCGAGTTTGTGGCAGCCACAAGGAAAAAATATAAAAGTAGGAACACTGTTTATTTATTATTGCTTGTGCAAATTTAATTTTTTTTTTAAATTGGTTTAGCAAGTTACCATAGTTACCATAACCAAGTTTAGCAAGTAACTAAAGCAAAAACTAACGACAACTTTTATAAATAGACGTCACTTTAATATCATCATTATGTAGTCTATAATCTTGATTCTGCATATTTGTTGTTATAATGACCAGCGAAGCTAGTGTTTTGAAAAATTTAAAGATTGCTGGTTGGTAATCATTAATTAGGATTTGCCCATGGCCTACAACTTGCCTATGGCCTACATCTTGCCCAGGCCTACAACTTTCCCAGGCCTACAACTTGCAGTAATTATTATATTTAGTATTGCAGTAACTTGTTCTTTATAAAAAAAAAAAAAAGGAACTTGCAACGAACTATCAAAAATTTAAAGAATTTCTGACAGTGATGATGACAGAATTTCTGCTGGCTTCGACTAGTAACGTTTTATACCTAAGTTTAGTCTCAGTTAAATATAATTTAATTTGTAGATTAATTTTTTCATGCAATTTCAAACAATTACATGATTTGATGTAGGTGCATAAACGTTATAAGTAAATGTTTATTTTATTATTTAAAACTAATTGATGTACCGAATTTTGGCTCCGGCTCATGCTCCGACCGATCTGCCCATTTTTACAAATCCGGTCCAAATCCGGCTCTGGCAGTCTAATTTCAAACAATAACTTTACAAAAATTTTGAAGGAAATTCACGCGATATTCTGAAGTGAAGACACCCGATAGAGTCTGTATTGAAGACACAAATGTGGTTAAATAATCATTCAATAAAGCTACAGTACAGAGGGTATCGCAAGATGGAAGGGATGCAAGATGGAAGTCAATCTGAGCATGCTGAGCAGCAGATTGACAAAATTGAAGAAATAATTCTTTTACATCATCATCATTATTCTGACAATGTCTTGATATAATTGTTTAGACTACGTCCACTGGTGGCACAGCACAAAAACAACACAAACAAACACCAACACATATTGACACTCAGCTAAGCCAGTATCTAGCAGAACCAGAAATAAAGAGACATGCTGATAAATTACAGTGGTAGAATAATAACATGCAACAACCGCCAGCTCTGGGGATAGTAGCTTGCATTTATTTGGGTGCCCCACCAACAAATGTACCATCAGAACGTTTGTTCAGTATTGCTGGGGAGGTCCTCAATGATCATTGTAGTTCACTCCTGCCATATAATTCAGCTCACCTAATTTTCTAAAGTGATTCAAAAATTCCAAACTGATCAAAGATATTTTTTATTTTAATAATAACAATAAAGTTTAACAGAAAATAGTTTTCACTTGGTATTGAGAATCGTAAATATTGTTGACCATTCTTAATATCAAGTAGGGATGTACAGGATTTAGGCTCCTATAATTTTGTTTCTGAAATCCAGCTTTGGCTCTGGCTGAATTTGTCAGTAGAAATCTGGCAAATCCAGCTCCAACCGGATTTGAAAAATAATTTAAATTTTCACATGCTTTTAGAATATGCTGACACTATTATAAAAAGAATTTATTAGAACTGATTACTTCTGCTTTATTTCAAAACATTTTTTTAAAAAAGAGGTGGGGGGGGGGAATTAAATGTAATTATAATTGGAGCTCACTTATTTTTATAGGTTTTTAGGAGGAACTTATTTTTGTGCCTGCATTCAGAAATCAATTCCGACTTTTAATGTTTAATTGTGTTAAATGTTTACTATATATATATATATATATATATATATATATATATATATATATATATATATATATATATATATATATATATATATATATATATATATATATATATATATATAAATATATGTATATATATATATATATACATATATATACATATATATATACATATATATACATATATATACATATATATATATATATATACATATATATATATATATATATATATATATATATATATATATATATATTTTATATAGTAAATTTTTTATATTATTTTACAATTTTGAATTATTAAAAACAGCATTTCATAATTAAAATATTATTGTATACAAAACAAACCTGGCATTCGATTTCCAGAAGCCATGGGGGGTAGGCCTGGCGGAGGTCTAGGTAAACCAGCTGGTGGACCTTAATAAAAACACACTTAAAAACATTAACATTTACAAATACAAAGTGGACTTTTTAAAAATAATAGAAAATAATCACATAAATAATACCTGGAGGCCTTCCAGGTGGTGGACCAGGAGGCATCATTCTAGGATTTCCAGGAGGAGGACCAGGTAGAATTATGCCTCGAACACTACCTTGAAGTTGATTCTATAATATTAGGTAATACACTTCAAAAAACCACTAATAAAAGCTACTAAATGTAGTTATAAAACAAAAAAAGACAAAAACAACTCAATAATTGATAAAATTAATAAAATATATGACAATAAAAATTTACAGTATAGTAACAAAACTTTTTTTAATTATTTTCAAAATCTATTTACAAAACATGACATTAAAAAAAATATCTAATGTGTAGGGCAAATTGTCGACGAGACAAGTTGTCTATCATGATAGGAAACTTTTGAATAAGTTGACCGTGTGAGTGTCAATTGCTTCTTGTGGTAGTATATTCCAGGACGGTGTGACACAATTAGTAAAAAAGTGGTCGCTCTTTGCAGTCGTTAACAATTTGTCTGTGTAGCTGTTTATTATGACTTCTCCTGTTATATGCATTATTAGAGAACCTTTGAGGAACAAAAAAACTTACATCATCAATTTTATTCACAATTTTAAACTCTTCAATAAGATCTCCTCTGGCTCTCCTCTTTTCCAGTGTTATCAATCTGAATATATTTAAGCGTTGCTCATATGCGAGATGTTTGTTACAGGAGACTTTTGTTGCTCTGCGCTGTAAATTCAAGTAAATTAAAAGTAGTAAATTAATATCTTCAAGTAAATTAATATCTTTTTTTAGGTGAGGAGACGATGCTTGAATAGTGAATTCCAAGTGTGGGCCCACATATGTGATGTAAAGCGCTCGCCAGAGACAAATGCTTCTGCTTTGGAATGCTTCTTTGAGTTGGCCCAATTTGCAATTGGCAACTGAGACTGCATACTCCACTTGGGCACGAACTTTGAGATCATTTGATATCAGAACACCTAGATCTCATTCAGTTTCAGTTTCTTTCAGGTTTCGAAGAGTGCCTTCTGTGTTTGTCATTGAGTAGACTTGATTAGATTTTCTGTTACTTCTACCAACATGCATTGTTTTGCATTTTTCCACATTAAAGAACTTCAACTATTTGTGAGACCATTTTATACCATGATCAATATCTGATTGTAAAGCTAGCATATTTTCATCCGATTTTATGATGTTCATAATTTTACAATCATCTACGTAGAGCTTAAACTGGCTTGTAATGTTGTCCTGTAGATTGTTTATAAATAGTACAAAAAGGAGTGGGCTGAGGACGCTTCCTTGAGGGACACCACTTGTGACTTTTTTCCAATCTGATGTAAATATTTCAGCAGTTGAGTGAGTATCAATGACAACTCACTGTTGTCTATTGTTGAGCCAAGCATTTATCCACATTAATGTTTTCTTGTTAATGCCATATGCTTTCAATTTGCTCAATAGGCGATTGTGTAGGACTTTATCAAATGCTTTTGCAAAATCAGTGTAAATTACATCGACTGGATACTTTTTGTTTGCGGCTTCTGTGAGGAAGTCACGAGTTTCAAGGAGATTAGTCAAACAGCTTTTTCTTTGAAAGAATCCATGTTGTGATATGCTTATTAAACCGTTGGATTTACAGTGTAGTATTATTTTTTCATGTAATATGCTCTCAAATATTTTGCATGGTATGGATGTGAGAGAAACTGGTCTATAATTCGATGCTTTTAGTTTGCTTCCTTTCTTGAAAAGGGGCTTTCCTGTTGTTGTTGTTGTTGGATTTCCTGCAGAGGTTAATACAGTGCTGGTTGAGAAAGATTTCTATCAAGAGATCTGGGTTGTATGTTATTACTAGGTCGAGAGTACTGTTCGGCTCTGAAAATCTGTTGTTACGATATGTTTTGAAGGTGATCATTTGTGTGAGTTTGTTTAAGCAATCTTGAAATCTCATGTTGACAGGTCATTCATTTAGCATGTGTGCTGTTGTCAATATGCTCATAAAATGTGTTGCTAAAATTAAAGTTACCATAGATCAGAATAAAATCGCACTTTAACCTTTGGGCGGCAGCTTAAGAAGCTTTGATATATACATCTGAGAATAATCGAGTTGTTGCCAAGGAGTCTAAGTTTAGTTGTGCAAAATTGGGTACTAATGTAGTTATTTTTTCTTGTATATTAATGGCCACACCACCTCCATTTCCGTCTATCTCTTTGATGAATTTGATAGCCTGTTATAACGGTGTCATTCATTCTGTTGTACCAAGTTTCCGTGAAGAATAGAATGTGTGGAGTATTTTTAACGTCTAAATTGTGTAAACGAGCTATGGCTTCGTCGCATTTATTTTTATTTAATGAGCATGGATTGTTGGCCCAAAAGCGGAGATTTACAGGAGACAGATTATTTTTATTTATTACTGAAATGCTATGTTTTTTGGGTGATTTTTTTAGGTGGACAAGTTCACTTGAGCGGTGCTTGTTGTAGCTGCTGTATTGCTTCGTCGATATTCGTTGAGAACTGTCGTTGCTGAGGCGAACTCATATTTCTTTTGCTCATTAGACTTAGTGGCATCAATACAGCATATTTGACCAGTTTTTTTGAGGATAACATTCCGAAACGGTTTGTCAAGAATCTCAGCATCTTTCAGTTTTTTGCTTTTCTTTTTAAGTTTAGCTCGAGTTTCGTTGCAGTGATTTAAAACAGCGGTTTGTTCTCTTTTGTTTGCATGAGAAACTTGAATATTATTAGAGTTATGAACAGTTTGTTTCTTACTTGTGTTTAGGCGTTGTGCTTGTTTGATTGTAAAATTATCAAGACTAAAAGCCTTGATAAACTCTGTGACGGTTGTCTTGTTGTCTTTGTTCTCGGTTTTGGGTAGACCAATCACAATGACATTCGCGGGAAAGATGATGCCTGTCTTTGTTTTCGGCGGCGACTATGTTTATTATTTTGTTTCTGTGCTTGACTGTTTCCGGTGCATTTCCTTTGAGTTTCGAGGCGTAGGTATCAGATTTCTTGTTTTCCAGTTTATTGTTGAGATTGTCAATTTAGGCAGTGAGTTTCGTCTCGGTTTAATTAATGTGACCTTGAGCATTTCAGCAACGAGGTTTTTGTAGTTTTTGTTGAATGTTTTGCTTGCGAATATTGTTGCCATGGTGTCTCTTATCACTGAATCGAATATCGATAAGTTGGGTCGAGAGCGGCTGCAGCGGCCACTGTTAACGTGGCTTTGCTGGTCGGATTGAAGTTCATTTTATGAATAATTTAGGAAAATTGATAATTATGATATGATAATTTAAAATATATTATGATATAATATAATGTAATAAATTATGATAATACGATAATTTATGACAAAATGTATATAAAAAAAGAAAGAAAAAAAAAGAAAAAAAAAGAAAAAAAAGTAAATACAAAAAGTAATAAAATAATTATGAATTAATTACAAAAGTAATAAAATAATATAAAAGTGGAAACGAGATTAGATTGAAAATAGACAAGTAGTTAGTGAACACTTTTATAGTATGAAAAGAGTAAATAAGATATAATAAAAACTTAAATTATTGTTATAGACCTCACAAGGAATTAGTGCGAGAATAGATAAGAGAATCTAAAATCAATTAAGACTAGAAAATATATAAAACTCAAAAATTATAAGTCAAAGAAAAAATAATGAGTAAGACAAGATAATATAAGAAAGTAAGATAAGGTTGTAAATATAAATAAACAGACAATATAAGTTATATAAATATATAAACCAAAAAAATAAAAATAAACTTAAAGCAAAGTAAAGAAACTGAATAAACTACAATTGATATAAACAAAAAGAAAAGATCGAGTAACAAAATATAATGAAAATAATTTTCTCTTAAATTTAATTTTTTTCTTATGTAGAACACGTCTTTATACTTCGAAGGCGGAAGTCCAATAAAAACATAATAAAAACAAATATTTCACAATACAACTATAAATCAACCAAAAACGACAAAACTTTATGTCTCATCATATCAAATCATCAGCAATCATTTTAAAATACTTGTGCAATACAAATAAACTACTACTACTAGGAAAAATTGAAGTTCAAAATAACACTTACAGGGTCATGACCTGCCATTTTAAGTAACCTTTGTCTGGTCGAGAGTGATTCATCTCTTACATACATTTCATTATCTTCAACTGTTTCATCTTCAAAACGTACTTTCCGTTTACGATATTCAGCAGCTTCATCTGGAAAAAATAAAAAAGCTCACAAATCCATATTCCAAGAAACACATGTCTTTTTTTTTTTAAATACTTACACTCTTCAACATCAGAGCCATCTTCATCATATTCCTGGTCATGAACTTCATGTTCCATATCTTGGAATTCATGTTCTAACTTTTCTAACTCTGCAATAACATCGCTTTCAACTTGTGCTTTGCGCCGATTCTTAAAACAAAATTTAAATTTCTAAACTTTATAATGTATAATATATAAATATTGTAATACATAATAATTTATATGGCAGGATTAGAAACAGCTATCAGACATTATCTAACACTTGGCTGGCAAAATCCCTCAAGCAACAGACAATTTATCTACAATCATTTTAGTGTGCTGATTTTTTTATAATTGTTGATTTTATAATATCAGTAAAAAATAAACTACGTTATAAAAACTAATGTTTATAATTATTTTTCTTCAACTCAAAAAACAAACAATTGGCAAACAACATCTTAAAATATCCTTCAACAAATTGTTTTATGTTCCATAGCGTATTTAAGAAAAAAATTTTATATTCAGAATAATATGCTTTTTTAGGACTAATAAAAGACAATTTAGAACACTGCAAAATTGTTTTAGTACATTATTGAGTTGAAATTTTTTTTTTTTTCTCTTTACTTTATCTGTAAAGATTTCAATAAATTTATTGTTGTAAATATTTAAATTGTTTTTCTTTTATAACCCAATATACTCAAGATCAGATAAGTTGCATAAATAAGTAAAACCAGTTACTTTGCCTCTTAAGTAGAATTCTTATATATTTAAGTTTTAAATATAAATAAGATTCATATTTATATTTAAAATACAGTTTTTTTAAATTACTATAATATTTAATGTTTCAATATAAATGTTGTAAACTTTAAACATTACAAACGTTTTATTATAATAGATGAGTATGCATAAAAATCAATGTTGGAAATGTAGAACAATTTCATTTTCTTTATGATAAAGAACTTTAAGTCATATCTACATTTTAACAAAAATATATATCTATTCTAAAATTATTAACATAAAAATAAATAAAAAATTGGATTCAGGCCACAAATAACTTATTAACTTATTCATGTCACATAAATATCAACCTTGTTGAACATTTCAGTACAAATAATTGTTAAAAAAATAGTACAAAAAAAAATTTAAATAAATTTTTGATTTAAAGCATTAAAACCAAAATTCATTTTAAAAATTAAAAAATTAAAAAATTAAAAAGTTTTTACCAAAAGTAAAAATAAAAAAAGTTATTAGTATACCATTTCTTCTTCATTATCTATTCCTTGATATTCTGGACTTGGTGGAGGGGGATTTCCAGGAGGAGGACCTGGAGGTATAAGTCCAGGGGGTAAACCTGGTATATGAGGTATCCCGTACTTAGTTGATGAATAACTAGGCGGTTGAAAACTAAAAAACAAGATAAAAATAAAGTTAAACATATTAAACATAAGACTTGAATCTTTAGCAAAAATAAGTCCCAAATTAGGGCATAAAACTATAATATATTAAAAGTATGAAATATTATTTATATTTTAATTATATTATTAAAAAAGAACTATTACATTTTTTTATAGTTTTTGTATAATAAAAATAAATTTAACTTATACAAATATAAAACAAACTTATGGAATTAATAGGGATGGTCAATAAAAATTATTGATTAATGTTAGAATACTTTTATATCTTTTATAAGTAATTCTTTTATGCATTTAGAATGAAAAAAAAAAACAAAAAAAAAACAAATTAATTATACTTAACAAAAATTATTTTATAATAATGATTGTTATAATGTAATCTGTATATTTATATATACAGAGTAAAACCATTACCATGTATCTCAAAAAATCTAGGTTTTCAAAAGAAACAAAAAACTGAACTAATCCTATGATTGAAAAGTCAGAATTATTGAAGTTCAAATTTGAAAAAATGCGTTTTTATTGATATTTGATTTACACGGTTTTCACCATCAGAAGATAAATTAGAGTGTAGATGTAGTAAATTAGAAATCATTAAAACCACAAAATTACATTGTGTGAAATACATAGTGATGACTTTACACTGACTTTAAAATAACCTGTTTGTTTATTTTAATTTTAATTTTAAGTATATTTTGTATTTATTTTAAGTATTTTGTTTGTTTGTAAGAAAAACTTTTGTTAAACAACTCTTGGATGACATATTAAAGGATTCAATTGTATGTAAAAACATTATCGAACATAATAACAAAAAATATCAATAAAATGCAAACTTCTTATTTAAATCAACTTATCAAATTTGTTGCAAATTTTAATTGGAACTCTTCTTCAAATTGCACCTAACCTTTGCTTTAAGCTATTTATGGATCTTATATGAACTTTGACTAACTTTGTATGTCCGAGCTCATTAAAATTCCATTATATTCAAACTAGTTGATAGAGCTCGCCTGAGCAAAAAATTTTTTAAACTTTGCAACTTTCGTACAATTACTTAACTTCTACAACTAATTACAAATACTTTAGTTCAATGTTATGCGGCAGTGGTGTAGTGGTAAGAGCGCTCGCTTTGTAAGCGAGAGGTTCGGAGTTCGACTCCCACTACGTCCCTGGAAGTACCGCGCTCAACTTAGTTTCTCCGCGCAGCGGCCTTGCTTGTCAAGGTTCGTGTTTCGGAGTTAAAGAGTTGAGAGAGGGTTGTACCTTGAAATACAACAAAAAAATAAAAAACACAAAAAAATGAGTAGCCTCCTCGACTGTAGTGGCCCCCTCGGGCCTTGGGGAGGTGAATAATGTAAAAAAAAAAAAAAAAAAAAAAAAAAATTACTATATTTTTCGAACCTAAATCTTTTAAAAAGAACTTTTCATTTACTATTTATATTATCAAAGTTACATTTATCACTGAAAATTACGGCTTCCACGTTTCCAAAGAACACTAAAAATATCTCCTTAAACCATTTAAATCCTGAGAACTGACCTCTGACTGTTGGGGTTTTTTAACAACTCCATCAGCACTAATGCTCTTCTTAGGATAAATGTATTTTTCATAAAATTTTATAAAATTAAATTGATAAAAAAAAGTAAATATAAGTGTTGATCTATGCATCTATATAATAAGTGTTGATCTATGCACCTTTAAATCTTCATCAGCACCTTTAAATTGATTCGCTGCTCCACAATACTCTTTTCCAACAATTGTCCAGTGCCTATGAGCATTTGCAAATTCAATTCTAGTTTTTCAAATCTTGATTCTTTTTTGAAAAAATGATTCTTTTTTGCTGCTCTGAAGCTAAGAAGTCCTGAAAGTTGTAACTATCTGCAATCTTTGGGAAATTTTAGTTTTTATATAGTATTATTATCCATGTCAAAAGTAATTTTTTTTGACATGATGAATAGTTTTTCTGTCAGCGAAACAGCATTTTAGACATTATTTCGCTCTTATGTTTTATTTCTAGAGGAATGTTTTTATTGAATCCTTTGAATATTCAATTCAGGTCCAATATCCTTAGATATATTGGACCTCAATTGAATAATACTTGAATAATTGACTTGTAAATGTTATAAGCAATTTCTTTTCTTTTTTTTTTAATTCCTATCTTATAACCTTAGGTAACAAGTTCTCAAAAGGTAAAATACTTGTTTCCTGTCATACCAATACCCAAAAAAATCAATTGTAAGAGAGAAATCTTTAAAGGGATCCCAAACTCCCAACACATGTTGTGTTCATATTAAAGATAATGTTAAAAAAAAAAAGTTTGAACCAAATTTTTTTGATTAAAAATAAATAATGAATGCATACTGTGAAAAACAAATGCTGTTGTTTTTGCCGAAGCTCGTCTTCTCCATTTTTTTCAACTAATCGGAGTCTTCAAATTATGCGTCGCAATCTACAGACTTTGGCAATTCCTTTGAAGCGCGTTTAATTCATAAAAGTTTTAGTATTTGACGTCACGGTAGACTTTTAATAAATTAAACTCTAGAAATATTTTTATTTATTTTTAGTCGAAGTTTTTTTGATTATTTGTTTAGTTTTTTTTTTTTTTTCTACTTTTAATATTTAAAAAGATATTAAAAACCTTAAATATTTTATGCTGGTTCGTTGCTATAAATTGTTATTGCGCCATATATTTAATGTTTATAAATTATGAATATTTATTATCTCAAAAATTGTTTTACATTAATTACCCGTATAAAATTAGTAACAGCTTTTTTATTTGGTTACACGATATTTCGTTTCAATTTGCTTTGCATGAAGTTCGGAAAGTCAAAAGAAAAAAATTAGTTTGAATAATCACGTAAATCAATATATATTTAAAACAAATTATTTTAATGACAGGGGTTCTAAAGTTTTTTATAACAAATGTAGGTAAAAAAATAAATAACTAAATAAAAAGTTCAGTATTAAACACCATTTCTTTATTCTATTGCAACTGTAAATATTGAATTATTAACTTGAACTAAATTTACTTATTATTTAGAACGACTAAGCAATAAAAATTAAATGCCCCTAAAATTATGCGAGATTGTGTTGTTTATTTGATAATTGTTGTTGGCAATGTTGTTTATGTTGATTATTTTCATAAATATCAAAATAGTTCTAGATTAATTTGTTCGTTGCTTTGCTCATTGTTGATTTATTTCTAATTTAATTTTATCTCAAACTATAATTATATGTTAAAAAAGAAAAGTTTTTATTTCATCGGGCGCTCTTTTTATAAAAGAGTAGAACAAAAGAGAAAGAAAAGTTTCGCGCAATTAAACTTTGAATGAGTAAGAGTTGTATAGAATATATATATTTTTTTGCTTCACTCATTCTTTTTTTAGAATAATTTCTTTGAATAAGTGAGAATTGGAAGAGAAAATTGCTTGAAAATTTGTATTTGTTAATTGTGTTTTTAAAAATTTTTAATTTTTCATGTTAAGAGACAAATGCCAATTACGACACAAATTTGGAAATACCAAATATAGTATGTTTTTTAATTCGCGTTATGACATTTTAACAATTTAAATTACCATCTATCTTGAATTATTGCCTTTAATTAATGTGTTAATTATTGCGTTATTTAATAATAATTTGTTCGTATTTTTGTTAAATATTAGTTGTATAAAACGGGCGAAAATATACAAACTTTATGTTTTTTATTTGATGGTTATAAAATATTGAACAGTAAACTTATAATCAAAATTTCTAATGTCGACTTGTGTTGCAATTAATTGTACTTTTAATGCAAAATCAGGATCTCACAAATACTTTCACGAATTTTCATATCTGATACTACTGTCAACTGTATTGTTTAGTGTATTCTTGCACTTTTTTTTCATAATCTTAACAGGTTCTAATTGGTATAGAGTTGTTGACACTTTAAAAATTTCATTATCAAAAATCAAATGTAAAATAAAATGGTATTTCCTTTTTATCCGTATCCAATTCAGCAAATTTAGCAATTCAAAAAAATTTTATAATAAAAAAAGTTAACAATTCATTAAATATCTCTAATTAATACTGTCAGTTTATGAAAGTAATTGTTAATAAATACTTTTTTTCGACGGGAAAACAAAAAATTGTCATAGCGTAAAAATAACCAGAGAAGTTAGAAAATAGTTCCCTTTGTTTAAATAAAAATAATTAAGAATCAGAATATATAATACTGCGCTCTCTTGCGCAAAAACAAGAGACCGTATATAAAACGTTCTATATAAAGTAAAATACTCGTATGAAAATCATGAGATTGGTAAGTAAAGCTTTAATATTTGTTTTAATTAAAATAATTAAAGAAATATAAGTAAGATATATAAATCTAAAAATTATTAAGATATCTGTAAAAAATAAGTTGCTCCTATAAAATAAAAATAATTTATTGTTTTTACTTTTTACAAAATTTTTTTTGCGATGTTTGGAAAAATAATACAAATAAATTTGTTTTGCTGTATGTTAAAAAAATACTACAGTAGAAAAACGCAGCTTAGTTTAATTACACTTTTCTTTTGTTAAAAGTCTACCGTGACGTCAAATACTAAAACTTTTATGAATTAAACGCGCTTCAAAGGAATTGCCAAAGTCTGTAGATTGCGACGCATAATTTGAAGACTCTGATTAGTTGAAAAAAATGGAGAAGACGAGCTTCGGCAAAAACAACAACATTTGTTTTTCACGGTATGCATTCATTATTTATTTTTAATCAAAAAAATTTGGTTCAAACCTTTTTTTTTAAATTATCTTTAATATGAACACAACATGTGTTGGGAGTTTGGGATCCCTTTAATGCTCTAAATTTCTCAAACCAAAACAGCAAAAAAAAGTTTTTATTTTATTTTAAAAATAATATTGAATTAAGTCCTTAAAATATGACACTGATTGAAACAAAACAAAAAAACAAAAACAAAAACAAGACATAAAAGTTTTTCCTAACAGTTATAAAAAGTTGCTTATGTTGG